TCATACATGCATTATACACACCCGTCATAACAGCTAGATTATCACAGATTAAATGTAAAATTAGTTTGACAACTTTTTAAAATATGTGATCATGTTTTAACCATACAACGTATAATCGGGTTATAGATAGACAGCATCCAAAGTTTAGCCACCATTCGTATACTGGGGACCGTTGGGACTAAAATAGTTCATTCTGTACGGATCCTCAACGGATTTTCATTGTCCCTCTCGTACACGGTTTTGACGTATATGCTGAGTGCGTTACATTTGTCCATACGCGAGTTCAGTTTGTTGATCTGTGTACACTGATACACTATAGAAATGTGTTGATAATTGGCAGTTGTTCTATGTTCTCAGGGCAATAACGACTCAGGACAATGAACACAAACACAACTACTGTTTGCGTCCCAGCAGTTACATGTATATTACCCTCATTGTCATTAAGACGGTTTGGGAGTTCAGTGATTTAAGTTTTTGTTCGTTACACCGAAGGTCCCCAGAGTCCATTTCTGGGTGAGTGAGTTAAGATTTTCAGTCCCATTGGCAGTATTTCAGCCATTTTGTGACTTAATCAGGTTATTCATTGATAACAAATACAGCTTCGTTATAAAATGTGTTAGCAAAGGACAGGAAAACAACTAGAATATCCCAGGTGGAATACAAACCAGATAGCATATAACATGAAAAATAGAACAGCAGTACAATACTATCTAAAACCACGCTGTAGATAGCCAAGGTAGATCACCAAGGTAGATCACAATGCTAGTGACCATTTGCATTTATACCATAGACTAACTCTTAGTTTCTGAATATATGTGAAATAAGTCAAAAGCACACTCGCCAGTTTATTGGCATTTGAGTTGTAGACAGCGGCCCGATTCTGCGTGCTGGTAGAGATGTGAAGCTGTTCGTTGAATAATGATTATTAGTACATCATTAACTCCATGTTAACTCTCGTTTCAGCCGTCGACCAGTGTAAGCAGCAGTTTGATTTCATTCGGCAGAGCTCCCGTGTCCCGCTACCCAGGCTATACATACACCATCTACAGTCTGATCACGCTCAAGAACAAAACATCATACCCACAGGAGTGAGTCGATGCGTCTGCAAGACTCAGAAACATTCCATTTACATATCACGGATCCCTTGAAATATTAGTTCGTGGACGTCAATGGCGCATGTCGTCGAAATTATGCATTTTGTGACTCGTTTTTCTGAGCGCTCTTAACTCTACGACATTCGGAATCTTTTGAATCAAGATCTCCTATCAGTTGATTGTAGGATTCCAACTGAATCATGAGCATATGGTTACACAGCACTACCAAATAGGGATGACACCCGGTGTTTATGAGCAAATCAGCGTATACTGGCCGTCAGGTGTAGCGGTAAGAGTATTTTGTAGGAACTGGCTCTGATCACAGGCTCCAATTACGACATTGCCTGTTGAGACAAGTTCGATGCAAATGTACCAACCATTAATGAATAAATCAATATATTGATGTTTTGTTTATCTGTTTCTGTGATTGTTGCTGTAATTGTTTGCACAACCGAACAAGTAAAACGGTTGGTCCATTAAACGAGTATTGTTGTAGCGGTATGGGTACGTTAAGGAATAGAGTGACATGATGCCTGTCGAGACAAGCACGAGGTAGATGTATCAACCACAATTGTTTGGGAGTGTTCACTCAAACGCATCTCGTTCAGTTAGTGTTTATGGAATTTAATAACATTCATTGAAACGCATAGACACTGACTGCACGAGATTTGCCTGCGAGTGAACTACACACGCTCCCAGATTTCATATGTTGGAATTTTAATTCAATTCGGTTTTCAGCTTCTCTGATACCAGACGTAAATTTAGGTGAGGCGAGGTGAAATTGGGGTTAACGTCGTGCTTGAGAATATTTCGCTCATATGACGACGTGCATGCGTGTGTATATGTGGTCTACTCCCATTTGCGAGAACTCCCAGTTGCGAGACTCCCAGTTGTGAGACAGTGGAGAAGGTAAGTAGCAAAGAAAACACACCTTACTCCCCTATCTGATAGAATGGATTAACCCCAGCTAATTAGGGATTAGCTATTTAACTGAATCTTGTGGCGGTAGCCTAAAAGATAAAGTAATTAACCTACTCAGGTAAATGGCTTTAAAAAATAAACACTTTGTGTAGGTAACTTCGTGATCATTTGAAAGAGAAATTAATTTACCTACTCAGATTTACGTGCTTGAAAAATCTAGCAATAACTGTTGTAACTATAATTAATCCAAATGTATTTATTAACCTGTGACTGCTCTTTCCGATCACCATTATGGCAAGCCTTCAACAAGTAGAATACATCACCAGTTCACGAGGCAGTATTCAGGTGCTCTTTCAGGGTAACCTGTATTACAAGAACAAGCAGCGGCAGATTTGTGCCTATTGGAGATGTACAATACGAACGTGCAACGGCAAATGCACTACAGTCGGCGACTATATTCGGAATGTGACTGATCCTCCAGAAGATGTCCAACGCCTCCGTTTTGTGAGGGAAATAGACAATCGACTACATAGACTCAAAGATCAACTTGCAGATGGATCGAAAAATCACATGCAGTATCTTGATGCAGTCGGCAAACTGCTGAAAATATGAAAAGCGTCAAAATCTCCAAATATAGACCCATGTAAAAAGTGTTTTATAATGACACACAAACATCATAATAACGCAAATCATCAAAATGTGTGAATAAAAAATGATAATGAAGTATTTAAGAACTATTTCTTCAGTGTAAATATAATGATAATCTTTTTCAGTATTTCAGTATTTAACTTGTTCTTTATTGAAAACAATAAATGCTCTTCAATGAACATGTCTTCTGTGTCTCATTAATGAACTATGCCTCCTGCGGGTACTCTTGAGTAACAGGGCTGTTCCCACTTTCATCGTAGGGATTGGGAAGCACCACCTGTGTGCACTGAACCATTAATTAATGTGTCTCGCAACTGGGAGTTCTCGAAAATAGGAGGACACCATATGTGTATGTGCGGCTGCTTGTACTAGCCCAGACTTAAGCTGGTTTTATAGTGCTAGCCCACTGAGATACCATGCCGCAGTGAAGCATGAATACCCCACTCAGACACATTATACGGACTCCGAGCCGACCAGTCCTTGTTGTACCCATTAATGCCGAGCGCCAGACAGGGACCAACAAGTACCATATGTTAACGTCTTTTGGTATGACGCGGTCGGGGATCGAACCCGCGACCTTCCGCTCTCCGGGCGGACGCTCTAACCACCACACCACGGAGGCGGTCCGTAAATTTAGAGTTAGGTTATGAAGTCAGTCAGTTGTTAGATATTCATAAATTAGCTTAGACAATCAGTTGGGTTTAGTTAGTAAAGAACATTAGAGTTAGATAGTCGGGGTTATATTAGTTTAGAATTAGTCGGGTTTTGAACATTAACAGAGTTAGAATTTAGTTCTTCATATTTAGTTCTTCATATTTAGTTCTTCATATTTAGTTCTTCAGTTCCTCATTAGAAATAATTGTCACTTTTAGTTCCTCAGTTTTACATTGTAGAAAATAAGTGTTATCACGTTGAGTTCATTTGATTAAATTTGCAAATTTACGTTTCGACAAAAAGCGTCAGAACAACAATCGATGCCTTAATAAAGCTGTATATGTTGATGTTTTGTTTATCTATTTCTGTATTGTTTTGCATTAATTGCATAACCGAGCAAATAAAACGAGAGTGGGTTCGTAGAAACGATTACTCAAAATGGAAATCCATCACATAGGCTACGATGTTTCAGGAGATTTATCCGATGAGTTACCCGCCTCCATGGCAATATCCAATTCAAACAATAAACGTTGTTCACGGACATAGTAACTTCATTTCCAGGTTCATATTTGAGAGGGCCCGTGAAGATCCGAGGTAGAATAGGTCTTCAGTTACCCATGTGCTTGCCATAAAAGGCGACTATGCTTGTCGTAAGAGGCGACTAACGGGATCGGGTGGTCAGTTTCGCTGACTTGGTTGACACATGTCATCGGTTCCCAATTGCGCAGATCGATGCTCATGCTGTTGATCACTGGATTGTCTGGTCCAGACTCGATTATTTACAGACCGCCGCCATATAGCTGGGATATTGCTGAGTGCGGCGTAAAACTAAACTCACTCACTCACTCATATTTGAGAGAATGAGTGCGTTGAATTTTCGCCCTTTTTTTTAGCAAAATTGCAGCAATGTCACGGAATGAGGAAACTTTATGAAATGTGTTGCACACATTATACCTAAATCAAAGAAGTACATCTTACCCATGTGGGGAGTCGACGTTGGGCCAACGTCATGATAAGTGATTGCTGTAACCTTCCGCACCTACATCTAGTATTTATACTTCAGTCCGGCCTTTGTATCTGACAATGGTATCTAACGCAACACTCACAGTATTCATTCGCGAGGGGACGTGGAGTAGCGTAGTGTCCGTCTTGTGAAATGTCCGGTTTTGATGTGATATAACGCTGGGAAATACCTCTTACACAGAATAAAGCCAGTACGATTTAGATCACCTATTAAATTTATCTCTTACACTGCCAGACTGGATGTTCCGTTTGATAATAACTGTATAAATAGCGCTCTGATAACCCTTCGTTTAGTTGTTATATATCAGTCATTTGGAGCAAGCACGACGTTTAAAATAATGACAGGGAGATACAGACACTCACTCACTCACTCACACACTGACTAACACACACACGCGCGCACACCTCTAACTCTGAATGTGTTTTGTGTGTGTGCGTGCTATACTTTGCTGTTTCTCAACAAAGTGCCAGTTGTATGGAGGCGGTCTGTTGTATGGTCCTGGATCAGACAATCCAGTGATTGTCATTAGCATAGAAATGCGGAGTTGTGAATATATGTATACTTAGTACACAATAACAGCGAGCCGTCCTAGTGACAGTCGTTTATCACAAGACCTATCAACGCCCCGTGATTATGACGTGCAACCTTTGATATCTCACCAGTGATAATAGCTATATGATACTTCCTTCTCCGTGTCGTCCTCAATTTGCCTCGTCAGAGACTGTATATTTCAAAATGTGTCGGACAGTTGTTCTACTGTGGCTTGTGTTTGCGACCTGTAAGTCTCGAGTGGATTCAGACTGGACACAGACTGGACCATGTACCTGCCAATCAGATGATGGAGTCATCGACCTGACCCCGCTCGCTCTGAATAACGGGACACCTGCGTGAGTACCGTTACATGAAATATCATATACTGATACTGACATATCATCGTTCAATACAAGGAGGTTATTAGGTGGCCCAGTGCTAAGTTTCGTTTATGTTCGAATCTGATGGGGATACGGGTGGTCTTCTAAGTTTAGGCGCCGCAATTGTCTGGACAGATTTGCGTCCCTTGGACACGCCAGGAACCTACAACTTTGGTTTCGAATCTCAGTTCGCCGCAATCATTTCTCCAGGCTTCTCAGCACTATTTGCCTGTCCGTAGACTGCACAACAGTGATCCGTTATATATCGGATGCCTGCTTCACTTCGGACCGTGATTTTTTCCCCACACTTAACTGACCCTAATGTAACTATATAGACAGACAGACACATTTATTCTGCAATTAGGCCATGGGCCCATATTACATGACAGATTACAACAAAATTATCCTGCATGCATTAAGTTTAAGCTTCCGAAGATGATTTTATAGTTAACATTTTAGATAGAGTCCAAGTTTATTTGATACATCTTTGTCAGTAGATGCCATCAAGTGTATGAAGTAAGTAGTTGTTGGATAGTCTGTAAAGTGAGCTGGTAGATATCGTCTTCTTAGATGAGAGAATTATTCATATTTCAGAAGTACATGGTATTCATGTCCACGCTCTTCATATTTTACTTCTAAACAGTAATGACAGTATCTTTCTTCATGGGGTATATTGTCTTCTCGTTTCAACTTTAATCCAAAATTGTTACATCTTAATTTAGATATATATACTATTTCAAATACTGTGAAATGTCATCGATATATTTCTGCTCTAATGTAACTACAATTCTGTTCAGTAAATGTGTTTTATTACCCACGTGGTCAACGTATGGGTCGTTGCATATTAATCTCGTACGTCACACGAGTGTCGTATCGCGTTGACCTGTGTCATAACGACTTGACCTGAGATTCTAACGATTTGATTGGATAACCGATGACCTCTCAATTAGGTCACATTCTGACGTAACTATTTTTTCATTCATAACAAACACGTGAATTCATTCATTCTACAACTTAAATGCATTGTGGGAATGTAAACATTGCGAACGTTGCCGTGTCGCTGTTTAATTGTGAGTCGAACTGAGACATTATATCCGTCGAAAAACATGAACGCAATGTTTCCACCAGTGATGTTAGCCGAATGAAGCAACTGGAAACCAAGAAACGAGGTGCAACGGAGTAGTTTACTGTAGGAGGCTGTACGAGGCAAAGACAACTGACATGCATCGTGACGTCGGTTACCATGGCAGTGACGTCAATAGTGTGACGTCATGCAAATATTGTACTACAGTACAAAACTTTTCCGCAACCTCTTTATGAAACCGGTTTCGGTTTGAAACCAAAAACATAACAAAAATACGCTATTTTGTCAATTTAAATGCATGTAAGACGGGGGTAATAAATAAAATACCACACTCGGTCTCATTACATACGAATTATACGAAACTCGTGACCTTCCTATGTTATCTGACCTCGCTTTCGCTCGGTCAGATACCATAGGAAGGACACTCGTTTCGTATAATTCGTATGTAATGAGACCTCGTGTAGTATTCTCTATTAACTCAACTAGCTCCCTTTTTCAAAACGCAAGTGAGATATATATTCGTCACAAGTCGTCAATAAGTCACCGTCACCTGTTTACTGTGCTAGAGCTAAAGGGCGACCAAACACGCCATAATATCAAGCTCGTTGACCCAGACGGCATGGAACGTTCCTCACAACATCAATCACTGGATTGTCTGGTCTAACACCGTCATACCTAGCTACTGGTCTCCGTGACGCATTTGGACTATTTCTGAGTGCAGCAACAGCACTCATAGACTAATGCTTAGTCTCAGAATATATATAATTTTGATAGTAACAAACAAGCCCATTTAAACTGAAAAGGAGCCCCAGGGAGACCAGAGATTGAACCTGAGGAAATCTAGACTTGCTTTATTTAGGGCTTTAGCACTGCAGAGAGAGCTTGACAGTAGGGGAAATACTGTGGTTCAGGGACTGTTAGACAGACTACAGCACTCAAAACGTTCCTGAAACTTCATCTTGCACATTCATAAATATACTGAGAGAAACCAATAAAGGATCACAAGAAAATTCAAGCGTTCCTTTAATATTTTCCAGTTTTCATTACCAGCTTTGAATAGCGCTGTGGTGATGAAAACTGGAAAATAATAAAGGAACGCTTGAATTTTGCTGTGATCCTTATTTGTTTCTCTCAGTATATCAACAACTCCTTGGCTACAGCACATGACGGTTTGTTGTTGGTTTGAACAGTATCCCAGTTCTACTACGGCCACACTGCGGCATCCTGACGTGATACAGGGGTGCAGATACGGGGAGTTGTGCAGATGTAGGAATTTATCGGATAAAGGAATTTGTCAGCTGAAGGGATGTGTCACCTGAAGGAATGAATCAGATATAGTAATATATCAAACATAGGAATGTATCAGATGCAAGAATGTGTCAGGAGTGGGAACTTCTGGGCTGTAGGAATGTATCAGACGTAAGAGTGAGTGAGTGAATTTAGTTTTACGCCGTTTTTAGCAAGATTCCAGCAATTTAACGGCGGGGGACACCATAAATTGGCTTCATACATTGTACACATGTGGGGAATCGAACCATGGTCTTCAGCGTGACGAGCGTACGCTTTAACCATTAGGCTACCCCACCGCCCCCATCAGACGTAGGAATGCATCAACCATAGGTATGTCTCAGATGTAGGAATGTATCAACCATTTATGTATCAGACGTAAGAATGCATCAACCATTGGTATGTATCAGATGTAAGAATGTATCAGCTGTAGGAATGCATCAGACGTAGGACTGCATCAACCATTTATGTATCAGACGTAGGAATGTATCAGACGAAGGAATGCATCAACCATTGGTATGTATCAGATGTAGGAATGTATCAGACGTAGGAATGCATCAACCATTCGTCTGTATCAGATGTAGGAATGTATCATACGTAGGAATGCATCAACCATAGGTATGTATCAGGTGTAGGAATGTATCAGGTGTATGAATGCATCAGACGTATGAATGCATCAACCATTTATGTATCAGACGTAGGAATGTACGAAGCGTAGGAAAGTATCAGTGATATGATTGTGTAATCTGCAGGATTGCAGCAAACGTAGAAAATCGACGGACGTAGGAATGTATCATACACAGGTGTGTGTCAGTTGTAGGAATGTATCACATGTAGGTATGTATCAGTTAAAAGAATGTTTATGAATCAAATTTGGAAAAATTATCAGATTTCGTAGAAAATTATCAGCTGTACGAATGCATCACTCATATTTTGTTTTCAGATTTAACCACCACACTGATCTTCTCGGGCAGGATGTGTTCTCCTGGAACCCGTGTGTCCCATTCACCCAAGCTGCCTGCCAGGACGCAGCCGTTTGTAAGTACAGCGGCAACAAGGCCGGCGTTGTTGTCGGCACACAGCAGAGTGCCAGGTTCGTCTCCGACGTCGTGGAAGGGTTGTCCCTGCAATACTCGCACGGAGAAGTGTAAGTGTGTACAGGGCATCTTATGTGGTTAACATGGACGTGCATTATAATTTAAATTTACGTTAGGATTTGTAATGTAACCTAAACATACGTGTAGACGGGATTGTTCAGGTGTTCAGGTAGTTACGGAGTGGTTGACATGGCAAGGAGCCCTTTGTTTGCAGACATTATAGACATAGAGTTTATAATGATCTCGAACTTTGCTCTCATACACACCCAACAGTGTAAGTAAACTTACATGCAGAATTTCGTAGCGCCACGAGTCGGACTGAGAGGGTGGTATGGCTTTACGCATCTTTTAGCAGTATCATGGCTGGGGACATCCAGATGTACATCTTGGGTATAGTAACGTAAAATTTCAGTTTACCATATCTAGCTTTGAGTTCTAGTGAATCCGGCTATGTTGTAGCGTTAAGGTTAAGGTTAAGTATCTTACCGTGTAACTCGTTACAGAGCGGTATCGATCAAGCTGAAGTGCGTCCATGAAACGAAACCAGATGTTCTCTGGATTACAGGACAGGTTTCTGGAAGTGGTCCCTATGTAAGTATGATGGGCTTTCGTACAGTCCAATAGGTTTGCAGTAATACAGCATCGGTGTCCGGACATTCGGCATCCAGGTTGTACAGTAACTGATGTTTAACCTACAAAACATATATACAGTCATTTGGCGTTCGAGCTGTTTCATACACAAATACATTTCGGATAAAGGGCGATTAGAACAGGAGGTCAGATTCGTTGATATGGTTGATGTCATTGTATCCCAGTTGCGTTAGTCGATGATCATTCAATCATTACTTTGTCCAATCCAGGTGCGTTTATTTAGAGGCCTTCACAACATGGCTGGAATATTGCTTAGAATGCGGTTAAATGCCAAAACGGTTGTCCAGTCTTTTTAAAACTGTTCCTGCTCTTAAGCTGTAATCAATTTCAGAAAATTGAAGGAATAACACTAAAACGATATCTCTTAAATAATACTGACATTTTCATAAGTATGTGTTCATAAATCACTGTAAAATAGTAATGAAGTCAGGTGTTTGCTGAAAGGTGAACACAAGGCACAAGGTAATCAAATGGATATGTATATTGCAGCGTGTTAGGTGCGGATTCGTTCGGTAAAGTGAATTTAAGGCGTTGAATTTCTTAACTATCACTGTTCAGCAGACTTCATCTTGTCACAAGTGTTTACACTTTGGAAAGGTGTGTTCTTTCACTTCGGGTACCTGTTCCAGGTCATGACATTGTTCAGCAAGCATGCTTGTCTCAAACCGACTTCCGTGGACGAATTGTTGAGTGAACCAACACCCGCTGTCCACAACTTTACAATCCCGACACCAGGTGTCGTTACCATGACAAGCAAACCGTCGAATCTTCAGACAATCACACTGCTGGTGTCAGTGGAAGTGTAAGTATATGCACGAACATTCTAAATGAACGTTGGACTTGGTGAATAAATGAATGACAAGTCTCAATACGCTTAATTCAGTTCAAGAGGTCGGTCACACCAACAATCTTTTCTCAGAATTTACCCTAAAATATTTATGTAAGTCTAATTGTATTTATATACTCTGTTGTTCTTCTGTGGCCAAACCCCAGCGACCTTCATGCACAAATATACCCAAGAGCCTCCAGGGTTTATACAGATAGAACTGTTTCTCCAGGCAGTCCACCGAGAATATGAGCCAAACAACCGGTGTCAATCAACCGTGGTTCTTGATTTTGTTCTAGTTTCTACCTTTCTGTTGTTGTCCTTACAGACTGGCTACCGTTCTAATTCTTGTCGTGGCTGTGATTGGACTTGTTATTCTTATCAACCGGAAGTTACGTCTGAGCCGGACGTCTCCCCCTGCCTACGGCCAGCTTGTAATAGATGATGATGACGATGACGCCTTAATGCTGAAACTATAGCCGGCTTACCATGAACACAAAATGCCGTCTGATGCTTTTTAATCATATCGCAAGACCCGGGATGATTACTAAAGAGGCAGTTTAAATTTCAATTGAAGTGAAAGATTACAAATTAATTTAATTTATATGTTTGATCGGCATTCTTGAAGTTGGTGAGTCACAAATGAAGCATCCAACTTAATGGGTGACAACTGCTTGTTTACTGCATAGAGCGATGTTTCGATGTAGATCATTAAACTGTTATCAAGCGGTAATGTTTCATTTTTAATTTATATGATTCTATTTAGACAGAATTAACACTCAGTTACAGAGCACAAGTCGTCATGCCTGGACTATTTTCGTATAAACGTAGCATCTGCATCTTTTTCTTGTAGTTTTCTTAATTGATAAGTGACCCAGGTGTCGGAGGCGCCGATATTCACCTCAAAGAGCTCGGTGCTGTGAGGACTCGGGACTCCGGTGATTCTTGGTTCGAATCCCGGTTCATCCGTAAGTCTTGGATTGTCAGCTCCATGTCCATCCATGCTCGTGGGGTTCACTGAAGTGGTAAACGTCATGATCAGAGGCCTGCATTACCACGGGCTTGTCGCCAACACTAAGCTGACACACCGATACAACTGGAATATTGTTCAAAGAGGTGATTCACCCGTCTGTACATCGGCATTCATCGACTGGGGGCGGTGGGGTAGCCTAATTGTTAAAGTATTTGTTCGTCTCGTCGAAGAGTGAGTGAGTTAAAATTTAAAGTCACATCGGCAATATTTCAGGATATCGTGAATTAATTAAGTTTGTAACTTCATCAAAAAACCATGTAAATCACAAAAAAGCCTGTCAGCGACGTCAGTCAAACCAACTAGAATATCACAGACACAAAAAACAACACCAGTATGTATCTCTCAAACTGGATAACAAATTTAGACAGTACAATATAAAGAACGGGCTATAGATCGCCAGCACCATACTAGGGACCATGGGGACTTACAGAGCCTTTGCTACCTGCATGGACCCTAGCTGGATTTATACCATCCCTTCAGCCGCTGGCGATTGTAGGAAATCTAAGCCATAATTTAAAATCACTCAAATACTACATTTAAAAAGTCACGTCGAAGACCCGGGTTCAAGTTCCCGCAGGAGTACAATGTGCGAAGCCCAGTGCTGGCGTCCCCCGCAGTGATATTGCTGGAATATTGCTATAAGCGACGTAAACCATACTCACTCACTCACTATTCATCTACATGCTGTCATGTAAGTTGTTGTTTAGTGCAGTGAATTATTGTGGACAATGATCCACAGGCTGTTCGTCTGACATAGCGTACCCTCCTGATATTGACATCAGTTGCATGCATTGATGCATAATCCTGTTAGAATTCGAAACTTTTGGTTTGTCGTAAACGAACATGGAGAGGTTTAAGAACCGGTGAAATAAGTCGAACATGACGAGCTCTGTGATTAGAATTTTAGACTCGCTTGAATTAATTTATCATCAACATAAATCTGAGAATCCGATTCACTGGATGTACACTGCTATTCAGCAATTACAGCTCTATTTAGGGTTAAAGCCAGCGGACGGGAGCAATATCCCAGCTGTACGAGGACGACCTGGATTTAGACAATCCAGTGAACAATATTATGAGCAACGATGTGCGCCGTCGTCTACAATCACACACAGTGAACCTTTTCCGACCACCCGATCCACGGTTACGACAGACATAGGTTATTGGTGACATACTGGGGTAATGTGATAAAATTTGTATTACTTGATAAATGAGTCATTGAACTGAGTATAAGGCCACTTTGACCAGTATTTCAGCACCATCACGGCGTTTTGGGTGCATGTGAAACGAAACCCCGCGCGATGGAGGTCTCATAGTCTGTCTCACAGTCCCTGAACCACATTATTTTCCCTACTGCCTACCCCTATCTGCAGTGCTAAAGCCCTAAATAAAGCAAGTCTAGATTTCCTCAGGTTCAGGCTGAATCTCTGGTCTCCCCGAGGGCTCCTTTTCAATATGAATGGGCTTGTTTGTTACTATCAAAATTATATATTCAGAGACTAAGCGTTAGTCTAGAGGTCTCAGAAATATAACATTTTGGTCGAACCCACGAGTATGGAAATAGTCATCAGAATGATGCACTATGTTGCAAACAAAAATTAAAACACGATCTTACTTGTTACAAGGGAGAGTGCATATCAAAATCGTAAAGTAACAACAAATACGTGGTGTCGGTGTTCATTAGAACTATGTTCCATCCATGTCGATGCAGCCTCTAACGGGATTCAGCTTAGCTATAGATTACACGACCGGTTGAGGAGCACAGCATCCGGGCTTGACCTCAAACGAGACTCTCGGGTTTGCTTCTATGTGGCCTTCAGGCATGCCTTGCTTGGCACAGACAACACCCCAGGTGCAGCAGACAGTGTACTGATCACGGATGAATTCAGCGACACTTCGCTTCTGTCGCCTACAGACGCACCCAGGTGCAGCAGACAGTGTACTGACAGCGACACTGTCGCCTTCAGGCATGCCTTGCTTGGCGCAGACAACACCCCAGGCTCAGCAGACGGCGTACTGATCACGAATGAATTTAGCTAAAGTTTCTCCAAGTCATTAGCTATATGGTTGAAGTGGAATTGTATGGGAAAGCATAACAATTCAAACAAGACTCATTTTGGTAATGGCAAATTAAATGACGCATCCTGTTGGGACCACATCATTCAAGACCGCGTTCTTCCCTTTGTGCAACTATAGGGTAATGAGTGAATGAATGAGTGAGGGAGTTTAGTTTTACACAGCAATCATCAATATTCCAGATATATGTCGGCGGTCTGTAAATAATCGAGTCTGGACCAGACAATCCAGTGATCAACATCATGAGCATCGATCTGCGCAATTGGGAACCGATGACATGTGTCAACCAAGTCAGCGAGCCTGACCACCCGATCCCGTTAGTCGCCTCTTACGACAAGCATGGGTTACTGAAGAGCAATATTCTAACCCGGACCTTCACGGGTTACAGGGTAGTAACATCATATTGCAGCTGGATAATGTTCGCCAACACATTACGGGCGTTGTGACAGACTTTATGATCATGGAGCAGCGTAACATTAACACTATGTCTTGTTGACCTCTCTCCAATATATTTTCTCTTGCATGATCAAGAACTACGCCGACAGCATGACCAGTGCCAGCCAGACAAGGTCAGTTTGATCAAGGTTTGGTTGACATTTAAAACAACATCCCACTGGCGGTTTACAATCATCGGTGTCTAATGTGTGTCGCAGCTGCCTCGCCTGCATCAACGTAAAGGATTGTTACACCCGATATGGATTTGTTACACCATCGTCCCTTTAACATGTGTTACCAGGTATGGCTGGGTGGATTGTTGTTTAACGCCGTACTCAGCAAAATTTCAGCTATATGGCGGCGGTCTTTAAACAATCGGGTCTAGACCAGGCAATCCGGTGATCAACATCATGAGCAAAGGTGATCTACGCAATTGGGATACGATAAAATATATCAACCAAGTCAGCGAGCCTGACCACCCGATCCCGTTAGTCGCCTCTTATAACCAGCATGGGTTGCCCAAGACCAGTTCTAACCTTGTTCTTCACAGGTAAGTAGGTATGGATCTTGTCAATGAAGTCAACCTTGATAAGATAAATGATTAACGTTTGCTTTTGTTGCTAATAGCATGACATTTACACAACTATATATTCAACATGTGTATTATATATTTATAATATAATGATAATATACAACATGTTCAATCTATATCATGGAGCGGATACTACATGTTTAGCACACAAGCACAAAAGCCATATGATACAGAATATATGAAGGAGCGTCGCCTCGACCGTTCACGCATTAAATATTGAAGCATACGTAAAATAATTTTAAAAGTAAAAACATGGTCATAGGGTTCAAATGGTAGCAGCTGCAATCGTCAGATTGATGGTGGGGAAAGTAGGGAAAGATGCTTTGAGCAAGCGGTTTCAGTTCATGTATGAAGTGTATCAGTTGTTGTGATCGTCTGGATGAACCAGTCATCTTGCACTAACCATCAGTGATTAATGGCACCTTAGACCCCCCTTGATACCGGGTTAGAATCTGTTTCACATGATTGTCGACAGAGGTGATCAACGGGATGATGTGGTCACGGTGTCTTACTTGATTGATTGATGTATGCTAACGTTTACGTTTCCCATTTTCGTAGATCGATGTTCAGGATATTAATCATTAGACTGTCAAGTCAAAAATTGATTATTTCACGATCACTGTCAAGTAAATGGAATGGTGCTGACGATAATCTTCTTTAAAGACACATTGGAATACCGACAAGTCATTCAGCTGACACGAATGTCTACTTCTATATGTCCCTAAAATGCTTTTTTTGCTTTATTGAAAAATGGGCAAAATGGAAATTTATAGTAGAGTTACATGTATGTCTAAATTCTGTTTGTGCCTCCATAAAAATGCCAATGTGTCATTTGGCTGACCATCGACGGGACTGTGGTCAGGTAGAAAGACTGTCTGCCCTGTGAATGCTGGTTTGATTCCCGGCAGAGTCATAACAGAATACATCAACAGAGTGAACTTGTCTGACGTTCAGCGTCAAGGGGAGAACAAGAACGGGCCGACTGGTCAGGAAGGAAAGAGTAACGTGAGTTTGTGTGACGTGTTATACTGTGACATTAGGCCAATTAGTTTGCACTGGTACACACACGTAGCACCTCCCTATACACGTACTGTTATCTTGAACGGGAGGTTAAACCCCAATTAACCTAATCTCTCGACATATGATACCCGTGAAGGTCTGGGTTAGAATGAACCTTCAGTAACCCATGCTTGTTGTAAGAGGCGATTAACGGGATCGGGTGGTCAGGCTCACTGAATCAAACCCGGGTCTTCGGCTGGACGAATGAAAGTTTCAACCACTCGGCTACCCCACCTGACTGAGCCATCTGTGCCCCTCTACTCATTGTCAGGTGGTCACTGGCTTGGTTGACACATGTCATCGTATCCCAACTGCGTAGATCGATGCTCATGCTGTTGTTCACTTGATTGTCTGGTCCAGACTCGATTATTTACAGACCGCCGCCATACAGCTGGAATATTGCTGAGTGCAGCGTAAAACTCAACTCACTCACTCACTCTCGGCATATGATCGTAACCTTAGGCCGTACTCGAACAACCACATTCGAGAAACACATAAGTTAAGTATAAAAATGACAAACCGATATTGATACAC